GCTCTTCTAAATGTACTCAAAGTTTTGCAGTACTAATGTTTTAGGTGTTGTTTGATTTTTCTCATTAAATCTTTCGATTCCTTGGCGTTAGCTTCGAATGTGTTCCAGACTCTCTCACGTTTTCAACATTTATTGCGTATTTTCAGCACTTCAACGCAATTTCTATCATTTTATTGCATCAAAGACAGTTAGACACTTTTATTACCTCAAGTATTTCTTGGATATCTTAAATATTTTTGCTTTCTTTAAAAAGATAAATTATTAAATTTTTAACAGAATTGGTGGTTAGCACTTGTCATGTTCACTTCAGATATGGAACTATTAATATATTTTGCTAAGCAAATAATAATTTCGAAATGCAGACGATAATTCTTGTGATGTATTTTCTTTTTTAAAAAAATTCCAGTTTATGTTTCAATATTTAATATAAGACCTATGCAAAGGAATTTAAAAAATACAAGGGTCCATAAACAAATGTCAGTCACAGTATATTGGACCAAAATCCTTTTACTTTCAACAATGTGAAGTCGATCCACTTCTGTTCTGCTAAACAAACCCTTCATAATTGCATCTAGATACGCTGTAGGCCGCCCAGACGGTATATTGGTTAGGGGAACCTGTATTTGGACGATATTCGGGCCCGGGTTCGAGTTCCGGAGAAGGGATGGGTATAAAATTATCTGTCCCTTCATAGGGGGTAACGGCGGCCGCCTATTAGGTGCCTCCACAATAAAATGACCACCACTTAGGGCCTTGGGAGTGGTCAGTGCCGTTATAGACAAATGCCCGCTATTGGGGAAAAAAGCAGTTGCTGTGGTGTAATGTGGTTTAAGTCATGAATTATGATGCTATATTTATTATAAATATGGTTCTTTTACTGGATGTCAAAAAAACTGCTTTTTCATCACTCCAGATAATTTTATACCAATGCCCCATAATTCTTTCAATATAATCACAAGACCACTGTAGTTGCTTAAACCACTACTTTTCATAAATGAAAGCTATTTCATAGATTTATAGTCTCTTAAGATATTTTCATTCAGTCTATGATTTACAATTCACTTGGATATATTAACTGAACAGCTTTTCTTACTTAAGCCTCAATTTTTCATAATTAACGAAACGATCTTTTATAAACAAGCGAATAAGAATTCGGTTATTTCGCATCGCAATTTTCCTTGGTCTTCCATTTCTACGCCGATCTTTCAAAGTACCAGTTAATACTGATGCATCTACTAACTATGGAATGATGACAATCTGATTTTATAGTAATCTGGTAATCCTTTTATATGCAAATAAAGTTTATTATCATAAACGAGTAATTACTTTGCTTGCAATTGGTGTTCTTTAGATAAACCTAAAAGAATTTCAGATGTACAACACAAAGTTCTCAACGTCAAAAACTTTTAAGCAAGCAATAATCATTCGTTTACAGATAGAATTTAGGCTTAAGAGTAAGCTACAGAGCATTAAAAATCTAGTTTTAATTTTGTATTGGTAAACTGAGTATTTTATAAATCATTTATTTCTTTCGTAAGTTTTCGAATAATGTTATTTATTTTAAAACAGTAAAACGTTTTGAATTTATTTAAAAAAATTATCTTTAAATCATGCATAGTTCATTAAATATGCAATTGAGATTAATTTTGAAAATATAACTAAATGCTTAGAATACATGCTTTCGAGAGGTATTACAGAACTTCTGCACCACGCTATAGCAGTTTCCAGCAGTCTTTTCACTCATTTATGATTTTATCCACTTTTTTATTTTATAACGTAATGAAAACGTAACGACAGAAAATGTACGATTAGGAAAGCTTTGCCAGAACCTTACGAAAATCTTAGAATATGTTTAGAAAAACAAATTATGCGTATTTTTGTAATTTCCAGCCAACAGCGTCAATTAAAAACGCGTTAAATAGGGCAAACGCCAGTCCGTTGAGCCAGCTTATGAAATCTTAAGCATATGGAATTTTTTCCTAGCTACTTTTTGCGTCCAAATAAAGAATTAAGGATAAAAATAGCTTTCAAAATTCACTAGAATTGCATTCACAGACCTAATAATAGTTCATTGAGTTTAAATATATGCAGTAAATATTTCACATACAGTAAAAAATCTAAATATGCAACAATACGCGATGATGAAGAACGTAATACTACTCAACAGATTTAATTTACGTCTGTGTTTATGTACATTTTAGTACTTTTCTTTTACAAAGTTTCCTGAAAACTGTGAAATTCTCTCTTGTTCACTACGCCCTACTTCAGGACACGCTAAAATCGCCAGTAGCCGATAATGCTTTCCGTGTCTGAAGGTAAGTAAAAAATACTCTACGAATATATAGCATGAAACGCATAGTTTACGAGTTATGTGACTTCGAATATCAATAACTTTTTTCTTAGCACCCTTTAGGTATTCATAAAGGATTGCTTGTGTGTTTGCAGCATCTTTCAGAAAAGGTCGATAAAAATTAAGCATCTCTAAGAAAGTTCGCAAGTCATGGATAGTCTGTGGTAATTTATTTATAGTTCAATACTGCTTCGACTTTTTCAGGTAGAGGCCGAGATCCTTCCGGTGTTATAAGACATCCTAAAAATTCGAAGTTATCAATACCCATGATCGACTTAGAAATGTTGAATCTCAAACCATATTTATCTAATCTATCGAAAACAAGTTTCAAGTTATATCTGTGTTCTTCTTCTCAGGTAGAAGCAATTAATATGCTATCCAGATATGGAAAAGTAAAGTCCAAACCTTGAAATACTTCATGTACAAATCTTTCAAAAGTAGATGGTGCATTTCGCTATACGAAGCTCATTGCATTAAATTCATAGAGGCCAAATGGCGTAATTATAGCGGTTTTCTGTTTGTCCTCTTCGGCTACAGGAATTTGGAAATAGGCTTTGAAAAGATCTGTTTTGAAAAATTTTTTTGGCCTTTTAAAATATGGTTAAAATGATTAATACTATGGATAGGCTATCTGTCAGGAATAGTTATAGCATTAAGTCTTCGATAGTCTTCATAGGGACGAAAATTTCCATCTCTTTTAGAGACTACGTGAAGAGGACTAGCCCATGAAGATGTAGACTGTCTTATATTGTTTTCCAACATAATACCGAAATTCTTGTTTGGCAATCTGTAATTTTTTTACTGTCTAGCTGTCCTGGTTTGGAATACACCGGTTGACCTTCAGTTAAAATGTGGTGCTTAACATTTATTATCAAGAGATTAGGTTTTGTAATATTCGGATACTTAAATAACAGATCATGATATTTTAATTTATCATGTACTAAACTTACATCATTCATTTTGGAGATGGATGTAATGTCACACTGAGTAGTAAGATTAGTTACACCATTGATTAATCTTTTGTTATTTAAATCATTTAATAACTTGAAATGGTCTAAAATTCTGCTCCGATTATGCCTTTATTAATTTTGCAATAATTAATGGCCATCGAAAAGCTCGACGAAGGCCAAGATCAAGCGTTAACAATTTTACCCCATAAGTGGGAATTTCTGTGCCACTGGCGGCATATAATTTAGAGCCGCTTTGAAGTTTATCTTTTTTTTGTAGCAGGTAATAAGCAAGCATCTGCGCCGGAATCAATTAGAAAATGCAAACCCGTGTGTTTTATCAGTCTCAAATATTCAGAGTTTGGGGCCATCCTGGACATAACTTGCAGCAAAATCAGCCGCTAATTCCGCTACTGGTTTAAGTTTCCCGACTTCTTTTGACCCCAAGAGCAGTTAGGTTGACACTTTTCAGGAATGCATTTTGAGCCACGCATGTAAAGGTAATAACAATACTTTCCAATTTGGAATAAATCTTTTATGTTTATTACTTCTACTTCGCTCTCTGTATCTATCACTACTACGATTCCGAGATCGAGATTGGCGAGAAGCACTTAAAAGTTTCTATTTTTCCAGAGAAGAAATTTTTCTCAGTAACTTATAAGGTATTTCTCCAGCCTTCTTTTATGGCGTGCCTTTGTGGTGCAGTGGTCTATATGCTGGAAGCGTATTCCAGAGGTCCGCGGTTCGATTCCCGGCGAGAGTGTTGCTAATTTTTCACCTTTACTGCTTCCAAAAAATTACACAATGTCTCTACAGTGACGTCCGAACTAAAAAGGATATTGCCGATTGGGTTCCCTAAAAGTCCCAGTCGCCATTTAAAGGGTGACGTATATAAGGTATTTCTCCCGCCTTCTTGGTGCAGTGGTCTGCATACTGGGCGCGTATTCCATAGGTCTGCGGTTCGATTCTCGGGGAAGGCGTTGCTAAATTTTCATCTTTCCTGCTTCCAAAAAATTACACAAGTCTCTACAGTGGCGTCTGAACAAAAAGGATTTGCGATTGGTCCCTAAAAGTCCCAGTCGCCATTTAGGGTGACGTATATAAGGTATTTCTCCCGCCTTCTTGGTGCAGTGGTCTGCATACTGGGCGCGTATTCCATAGGTCTGCGGTTCGATTCTCGGGGAAGGCGTTGCTAAATTTTCATCTTTCCTGCTTCCAAAAAATTATCTAATGGCTCTACAAACTCACAAACCGAATTTAAATTTTTGCCAGCGGAATAAATTTCAGATTTTGAATTCACTTCTATTATTTTTTCAGCCATTAAAGCTATTTTGTCTAACCCTTCATCGGAAACCAGTAAAATATTTTTTTTTTTTTTTTTTTTTTTTTTATCGAGTCGGGCATTTTTTCTAATCACAAATGTTTTGAGTACTTTATCTGAAACGCCATCAGTAGCGATCTCATTTTTTGAAGTAATTGACTGGGTTTCGTATTCCCAAGGGGTATGCCAGTGACTAAACGCTTAATTCGCTTATTTTCGCTCTGAAACATCAGCAGCAGCGAGCGACCTCATTTTTGAAGTAACTGACTGGGTTTCATATCCCCAAGGTCAAGTGACTAAGCGCTTAATTCGCTTGCTTTCGCTGTCTTTGAATGTGTTTAACTGTCTACCCTTTCTTTAGTGCTACTTTGGTAGACGGTTGCACGGATTTTGGCGATTTTTTTTGGTGAGCGATACGACTTATAATAAACCCATTTCTGGACGTTATTTATACTAACCGATACTTTGTTGTCATTTTATTTAAAAAATAATGCGTTTTGTTATGCATAAATTCCATGTTTTAAATATTACTGATATCTTTATCTATGTATATATATATATATATTATTGATATTTTGATCTATATATTATTGATATCTTGATATTTTCATTGACACCTAAATTATGACTATTTTTTGTGGCACTTATCAATATAATAGGTTAAAAACTCAAAAAATATAAGTACATATTTTTCCTTATAACTGTATACTTCAATTTTTATTAAAAAAATTAATACACTGTTTTCAAAAATTGCTGAGATTTTTATTGCCACATATGTTTTAAAGTTAAATAATTATATCCTATAAAACGTTTTTAAGTATTTGAGTTTAAGTAATATTTTAATTCTTTTAAAGGTTGGTATGATTTTTAACTCCATATTCAATGTAAGTAATATTTTAATCCAATTAAACGTTGACACAATGTTTTTATTCTATTTCTTTCTATATGAAAGTAATTATTTAACCTTACTTTAGTATTTTATACTCGTAGTAAATGTATTTATTTGCATTTGCCTGCCATCTTAAACAACGACGTTTTCACCAAAAAAACTAATCCATTATTTTTAATGATAATTATTTTTTTAAAGTTTCGAATACTTTACTACGCATAAAATACATAAGAACAGCTTTTTTCAAAATGGCTGACGATTGTAAAAACCGTGCCAACAATTGCACCAACGTAAATCGCCAAAAATCCGTGCAACCATCTACCAAAGTAGTACCCTTTCTTTAACTAAATCATATTTAATATCAGATTTTTTTCCGTAATGATATCCCAAATAATTTCAACATATTTTGGCTCTAGTCGAGATACTAAATAATTAAATTTGATACTATAAACTGTTATTCCATTAATTTCAAACTGAGCTTCGATTAGAAAAAAACCAAATTTCTGGCCAGAAAAGGTGGAATTTTAACACTCACCTTGCAAGTTTCCAGCGTTGATGTTCCTTCCATAATACAATGTTACGGTCATCAATCTTTTAATGTGGATATTAATGGATAAGCGAAATCGAAACTGATCAGCCAGAGCATTTCATAATTTAACTAAATGCTTATTTTGGTCTTAAAAGCAACAGCGTAGGGGAAAGTGCAGAATCGCCCACTGCTTGGCGCGTTTTTAAGAATTGCACATACTCGGTATCCATGTACACATCGACCTATTTTCACTTAAAAAAACATGCCAGAATTGCATAAAAATGGCATTGCGCACTCCCTTGACTTTATCCATGTACACATTGACCTATTTTCACTTAAAAAGTCAAAGAAAATTGACAAAAATCCAATTCTTCTTACTCTTGTAAAAAGCGCCAGTCAAATAAGTGGCCGATTCTGCACTTAAGTCACAGCGTCTTTATTTTTGAAATTCCTATTCTTGTTTGCAACATGTTACTTATTTTTTTACATACAAATATAACAAACTTTTAAGAAATAAAGCTTACGCAACGCTTATCATGGAACACTCCAAGTAATAACTTTTTTGAACTCAACTTGTTGTTGCTACACGGCGAATCTTAATAACTATGCAAAAACATTACATCATGTTGCCAATTAGGAAATCGTAATAATTATATAAAAACATTAAATTGTAGAGTCATTAGGTTAATTGGAAGCAGAAAAGATGAAAAATATGCAACCGCCTTCGCCGGGAATCGAACCACGAACCTCTGGAATATCGGCTCAGCGTGCTACCGTTACACCACGAAGGCACTCTAGGGAAGTGGGAGAAATACCTTATAAAATTATGTTCCACTGCAGGCCGTTTATATGGTTCCGACGCCAAATCGCAAAACGAAAATAATAGTCCTTCAGGAACAAAGCCCCTTTGGACTAAAAATAAGGAAATTCTTTTTATAATGCGGATGAAGGGGAAAATGTCAGTAATAAACACGACAACTGACTCGCTCTTTTTAAATATTCCGTTTCAAAATTAATTCATACCAGAATAAAGTCATGAGATACATAGGCAATCAGACGCTGGGTGCCAAGAAATCGGAAACTTCCAGTTAGTCAGGTGCTATTTAAATTATAGAAAGACGACCAAAAAACGCAATTTGAAACTTTTATTGTCTCTGAGAAAACACTTCATTGCTGGGGGAAAAACTACATTATTAATTAATCTTCAGATAACAACGTCATTCCACTGTTTCACGCTCCTTTTTATTTTATTTTATTTATTTATTTATTTATTGGTCTGCGTGTGTGTGTGTGCGCGCGCGCCCCTGTTTCTTTTTAAAAACAAAACTTTTAAATTACAAAACTTTTAAATTTATGCTACAATTTAAATTAAAACAAAAACTTTTAAATTTAAAAAATCACATATGTGTGTAGACAACAAGACATAAAAAATGCCCAGACATACATACTTTCTACTACGACCTTTGCTTAAGAATAAAAAATATGCAGGAAACTCGTGGCTCTGTAGAAGTTACTCCGTAATAACAACATAATATGTGACGTTGAAAACATTGTTTATTATTTACATTAACGATGTAAATGTTAATGAAAATTATCATCCAGATATATCATAAATAAAGCGAAATCAAGATAATATTTTAAATTATATGAAATGTATGTAATAGATAATAATACAAATTATTAAGAAATATATATTATTTTTAATCTCTCGAATTGTTATTCTAATGTATGGGATGCACACTGTTATAATTTGAAAGGCTGTCAAGTCCCCCCCCCTTCTTACTGCATGTCTTAGGGGTGTAACTGGAAAAAACGCAGGTTTAGCAACTGCAAAGTCTGGAGTTCGAATCCCGGCGAGACCACTGTGCGTTTTTTCACCTTCTGGTGGTACAAATTAATAATGGTTAAACTTAAGTACTATAAACTCAAGTTTATTACTTAGAAATTCACCCGATTCCATTGTGTGTTTCAGCGCGTTTACGAGTAACGAGTGAAAAGAACGTACCAAATCTTTCGTACAAAAAATCCCAATTAAAATTAAACAAATTAGCGCAGTTATTCAATAAAATACACGTTGCGTAGCATAAATTTAGAATATTAATAAATTAAATTTTTAATAAATTCTAATTTAAATAATTAAGTGAATTTGCTACACAACAAAATACAGCGGGCACCAGTAATAAGTACAAGGGAAATTCTGAAAGTAAAGGACAAATAAATATGCCAAATTGAACGAAAAACTATCCGATAGTGAGAATTGATATTAAAAATTCAACTAAAGCTGGTAAGTGATAAATGTGAAAGGCTTTAAATTAATACAGTTCATCATCTAGAAAACAAATTAACACTGTGTTCAATATTTTAATTAGTTAAAAACCGATACGCATTATGAAACTGAATTTCTACTAAGAAAATACTTAATTTTCTAAGCAGGCATTACTTCACCTCTTCTGCTTTTTCAAATGAAAGGCGAAACTGCAGACGCACATCGTGAAAAATCACAGACGAAATTGAATTCGAGTAAAATATTATGCCACGCAAGTAGTAGATGTTAAGATTGTACACTGGCACCGCAGTAGCAATGCAATCAGCTTTCTCTCAGCCAATAATTGATAAGGAACGGAACAAAAGGAAGTTATTTGCAAACGCATCTGCGCACGACATCAAGAAATCGATATCTTTAAATTATTTTTAATCGTAGCCCCACTGTATTTTTGACAGTTATTTGTTTTTATTCATCCACGTAATGCAAATATGACTAATGCCCATAAAGCCATGTTAGTAAGTGGAATTAAATGAATTAATAGAATAATATTCTCACATTTGTTTACATATTTACATTATGTTTTCTCCCGCAAATGTCATTTCTCATTTTATTAAGACATTCTACTTTTTCTTCTATCATCTTTATATTATTATGTACTTTAAAATTTCCTTCATATTTTTATTTTTTATTTCAGTTTTTTAAACTTTTATGAGAATTTCATTTTAGGAATTAATACAATTTCTTACCGATTCTATTATTTTAATTCATTTCATACGCAGTTTTTAACTTCACTTGAAGTTAATCAATTTAGTTTGTAATTATTCTAATATTTTAAACTTTTATTTCTTACTGCGAACCACTTTTTCTGTCTTTCGTAATCATTTAATCGATAAATTTTATGTTATTTTCTTTATTCTTTCCTTTAACACGAATTGCTTTCACTGAGAAAACAAGCGAAATTTCGCTTAGATACATTTTAGTTTTTAAATTTGGTATTTTATTTATTTTTCACCATAATTTTTATATTTTGCTAATATATCTGTTTCACATCACTATTTACATTTTACTTTTTTCCCTTCACACGGCAATTTATTCCTTTTAATTTGTCTTTGCCAATTCAATATTTTTTAATTCGTACAGTAATTATTCACTTTGTTCGTAATTTACTAATGAACAAAGTGGCTGGCTTATAGGTTAACTAAGTCGTTTTCTACTTACTAATCTTTTTAATTTCTTAGCTAGCTAATTAATTGCGATTTATATTATATTACAGAACTTTTCTGGATGAAATCCTAAAGGGAAATTGTTAATATTAAAGTTATACATACGGCAAACATGTTCAACTACCGGAAACCGAACAGTACGTTCGAACTCAAATCAAATCGAGCTACCGGTATTTAGCGGTTTGAACTACTCGGCTATTGGTGGGACCACTGTTTGTCGTTATTGGCAAACAATATAGTACAGACTGGATTGGATTATTTGAATTATAGCAAAGCACATGGCAGCTATCTGCCTAAGAAGATGTATGCCTTTACGGATGACTTTCTAATAGAAATTGGCTCGTATTCATGTTAAATATGAGGAAATCACGAAAGCTCCCATACAGCCAGCCCGTTCATGGGAATTCGGAGACAGGTCGAAATACCAGTGTTCAGCAACTTCACCGCTCAGCAACTGGTCGGTCCCTTTCAGTAAAGAAGAATGAAAGGTATTGTTATA